GGGGGGGGTGTTATGTTTACCGCCATCATCATTATCATCATCATCACTATCATCCTCTTCATCATCGTCGTTACAATCATCATCATCGCCACCCTCATCATCATCATCACCACCACCATCACCACCACCATCATCATCATCTTCATTATCATCATCGTCATCTTCATCATCACCACCACCATCATCGTCATCTTCATCACCATCTTCTTCATCATCATCATCGTCATCATCATCATCACCACTATAATATGAACGATCACGAATGATGAATTGCTCTGTCGAGCAACTTCAATGGAAAAATATTTCATCCAATGTCATCTACTAAAGACACTCACATAATTTTAGAGAAAAAAAATATTCCTTTTAATGTTCTTCAGGTATATAAATCTTTTTGTAGTACTTTTCAGACCGGACCGACAGGAGCAACAGCATGGAGCAACAGCATGCACGCTGAACGTGGGGCCATGGTGAAACTGACAGTCAGCTGGCTACGTGACTATAGAGAGACTACTGCAAATATCATCACAGACAGCCCATCGCTGGTGAATGTGCTTTAGGAAAATAACAACACACAGCCAGACAACATGTAACTAATAGACAAGACTGGTAGTCACAAGCAACAACAGAGACAGTTGGATGGAATGTGGACGCCGGCACACTGGCCTGCAGAAGGAAACAAAGAGGTAGACAGAGCAGCCAATGAAGGAAGAACTCCAAAACCAGAGTTAGAAACCAGCGTCAAAGGTATGAGACGAATGGCACCACTCAGACCGATCATTCATAAAAGAACCAAAAATGTTTAATTCAAGAAAAGAGGAAAAAAGAAGAAATTTTGGATAAAAAAAAACCAGAACTGATCTAAGCAGACTGACCACCACCGTCTGGCATGAAGGGACCACTGGGCAGGCATCGCATCGAACTAGTCACGGAGGCACAATAGAGACCATGTGAAGAAGAAGGAAAAACATCCTTACATCTGTAGTTGAGATTTCCGGCAAAAATGCCAATAAGACAAAGACAAGGCATGAGAGAGCTGGGTGGATGCCCGCCAGAGGAGGTGGAGATGGTGCTGGAAATCCTCGCTGAAAAAAGGATCGGGAATCGATTGAGAGACTATTAAAACAGCAACAAAAACATTAACAACACCATCAGCAACACATCAACAACAACACCATTAACAACACCATCAACAACACCATCAACAACAACATCAACAACAACATCAACAACAACAACAACATCATCAACAACAACACATCAA